TCAATCCACTTGGCAATTGAGATTTGTAACTCTATAGAGGTCGAGTTCCAGCCTTCTTAGAATCGAGATTTCTACATCAATGATGTCTCATGCCTTAACAACTTAGAACCTCATCAAGAAATCGAAATTGGAGGTCTCTAAAACCTGAAGAAGAAATCCTTAGATTTGAAGTCAATCTATTGACTATTGCACAATATTAAAAGCAAAATCTATTAATAGAAACTCATAGTCCACTAGGGAAATTGTCTACAAAAGATACAAATGTTATGTCATACATGTTAAAAATGTGATTTTAAATTCATTATTATAGTCCAAATAGGTTTTTGTCTGTGCCATGGTGGTCTCTGTGTCAGTTGTATTTGAACTTAAAGCTCTTTATCGATTATATTTTAAAAAGAGGCAGCCAATCCTAGCACTATCAGAAATGTGATCCGAATCGAACCTAAATGCCTATTCCAATTTTAATGTTCCAATGCCCAAGTTATACTTGCCTTTATCAATTGCAAAAGAAATTATACTTGCCTTCGATACTTGTAAAAGGCATTTGGAATGGCACTTGTGTTAAGAACTTAACTCTGGACATTTACATTTGAAAGTTGATTTATGGAACCAATACATTTGAAAGCCCAGGATATAGGAGCTCTACACCTTATGAGCTCAAGCTTCCTTTGTTGAAAAAAGAGGTGGAGCTTAAAAATGAGTACCTAAAGGCCCACAAGAATTCATGGGGCAAGTGTGGGGTGACCAATATGATAAATACTTGGAGCGGTAAGAGGTCAAGGAATATTATAAATTTATATGTTAATTGTCCTATGGGAGCAATGTCTTTGAGGTCCATTGATGCATTTGTTAAGATTCATGATGCGAGTTTCATATTCAGAGTTGTGGATAAGTATATTGAGGATGCCAAGGAGGTAAATATTGTGCAAGTTGTCATTGATATGGCTTAAGCCAATATGGCAACTGTTAGATTGTTGGAGATGAGGAGGTCGGACATTTTTTGCGCCTTGTGTGGCACGTTGCATTGACCCCATGCTTGAGAAAATTGCTAAGAAGAAAGTGGTGCAGGGGATATTAGAGAAAGCAAAAGCTGTAACAATTTTCATTTGCAACCATGCCATTGGTTTACCCATGATGATGAGGTATACTGAGGGGGCTGACTTGGTAAAGTCAGTGATCACAAGGTTTGTCTCCTCAGAATGAAAAAAAGCAAGTGGTCTAAGGAGGGAAGAGGCAAAAAGGTTAAGGCATTGTTATGCCACCCAGGTTTTGGAGTGGGGTTCAGTATTGCATCTATCTTTTTGAGCCACTTGTAAAAGTACTGCGCCTTGTGAATAATGAAAGGAACCGACAATGAGGCATATTTATAAGTTAATGGAGGTTACAAGAGAAGAAATCAAGATGAACTTGAAGAAATATGAAAGTAATGCAGCCCCATTTTGAAAATTATAAATGACAAATGGATTTACTGTTGGAGAGAACCCTAGACCTAGCAGGGTACTATCTCAACCCGACTTATTTCTATTTTGATTCTTAGATAGAGAGTAGGGGTTGTTTCATAGAAGAAATTAACAAGTGTAATGTGAAGCTCGACCCTGACTCGGATGCCTAAGACAAAGTGTCTATAGAACTTGACTCGTATGGTTACTCCATGGGACCCTTGAGACAGACATCCCAATAAGGCAAATGATGAAAATATATCCATGTAAGTGGAAGATGAATTTGTCATTTAAATTCTTAATCCTCCATATTTAACTTGACTATGATTTTCTAAATTTACTTATATCTATGTGCTCTACTTATTTTTAATGTATTGTGGCTTCATGGCCAACCTTGGACAAAGTGCCCCCAACTTACAAAGGATGGTGCAATGGATTTTGAGCTTGACTAGTACATCGTCCGGATGCGAGTGCGATTTTAGCATATTCGAGATGGTAAATTTTTCATTTATCCTCATCTCCTATCACTCTACTACGCTAACTTTCTTGATATTTTTTTTAAGTAACAAATTCTAATAGTGCAATGAAGCACTATGAAACAAGTACATACCGAGAAGAGAAATAGATTCGAGTAGAAGAGACTGAACGACCATGTTTTCGTTTAGTATAGTCAGAAGCTGAAGGAGCACCATATAGAGCTGTACAAATACTCGACCCCATAGTTGTGAAAGATTTGGATAAAACAAGTGAATGCTTGGTCGAGGAGGATGCTGGGGATGAGCCTGTTATCAAGGGGGAGCTTGACGTGGACCCAAGTACAAGAGGCAACTGGTATGCCATTGAGCCCCATGGGTACTACTAGATCTCAAACTTAGAGTGAGGTGAAGGTGATGGCAAAGGAGAGGGGAAAGGGGAAGGGGAAGGGGAAGGGGAAGGAGAAGGAGAAGGTGAAGGCGAAGAGGAGGACAATACTGGAGGGTGAGGATGCAAGATTCGGAGGAGACACGGGAAGAAGGTCGAGGAGGATGACTCTAATTACGATGGCTTGAAATCATCATGAAATTCAGGTGCATTTCATACTGGCCTTGGACGTGGATTTCATGTTGCTGGTGTTGATGAAACTCAACCTCATATTTGAATTTATTATAATTTTGGGGTAGAGAAGATTAATTTTTCTAGTTTATAGCCTTTGAATTTTCAGATGTGACTTTTTTTAACTCAGATATCTATTGCGACTTAATGGATATCTTGAGTTTTGGGATAAGCATAAAATTAACATTTCCTAATTATGCCTGGTAATTTTCATTCTTTAATGTAACTTTTAACTATTTTATTCACAGTTTTAGTCATGTGTGTTTAAGTTTGATATGTATTTAACAATAAATTGTATACAACAAACTATAAAACCATATTTATAAAACAAAAAAATGATATTCTATAATGAAAAACAAGGGGTTCCAACAAGCCGCCAGGGTCTAGCAACCCTACCGTCCCCCTTATGCAGGCTACCTAGGTGTTTGCCTTGGGCGCTCGCCTAGGGAGGCCGCCTAGCCGTCTAGGTGGCCAGGACTTTTTTTTTCTTGAAAATTGAATCCTAGTAGGATAATATATTCAAATTTTGAAATATAAATTTAAGTTTAACAAAAAGGATATTATTTCATGATAACACTAAATACACAAGAACAATGAGAAACAAGCATAATGTGCTATTTGATAAATTTGATTCATTTTCTTCATAGATAAGTGTCGAGTGTCTAGTTTGACTCGCTCTACGTTAATAAAAACTAGTAAAAACAACCATCTCATGCCATGGATTTTTCTCCGCTTGTTGGAATCGGCATTCTCTCTCTAAAACCCAAAAAAAAAAAAGGGTAGGTGGCCACCTCTTTATCTCTCTCTATAGAAACAGTAAACCATTTGGGTAGATGGACCACCTCTCTCTCTCTCTCTTTTTCTCTCTCTCCATTGATGTTGTTGTTGGGACCTTAGGGGAAGGGAAATAGGGACTTGGAGAAGCTTTTGTATGCTCGATAAGCTTGCTTATGGATATCTCATTTCTAAACTGGACACTAGAAACTGTAATGCATATAGCTTATTACTTGCTGATAAGCAAGACAGCTAGCTGAGAACTATCATGCTTCTAGAGAACTATCATGCTAGGAATCTTACTGGTGCTATTGCCCTCATTAAGAGTACGAATGCCTATAGCACAACACCTCAAGCTACCTTTCACTCATGCGCATAAATAACTGTGCTTGATGCTTAGGCAAATGCTTAAGCTCTGGAACTGTTTTAGCTAATGTGCTTGAAGTTAAGGCAACTGCTAAAGCTTTTGACCCTGTCTTTGAGCTCTTTTGGTTGCTATACTGAAGCAAAAAAAAAAAGCTATGGAAATGAAGAGCCTCTAGCAAAGCTTACTGAAAGCAAAGTTCTCTTTTAGACTCGTATAACAAAGCTAAACACTCAAAAGTGAAGCAAAGCACAAAGAGAGAGCAAAAGTTTTTTTTTTTTTTTCTCGAAGTTGAACTCCAAGAAGCAAGAAGCACAAGTAATTCTTTGATTGAACTGGACTCTATAATACACTAGAGAGAAAAGCAGTAAAAGTTTACTTTGAATCCTATTGCAGAGTGAAGAATAATTTTGGTTTAGTTGGACTCCTATTGTGATGCAAAACTTGAGATACCATTTAAGAGGTTCCTACTGCGATTTGAGCAAAAGTAAGGGTGCTCAAATTCGTATTGCTATTCTTTAAGCTAAAGCAAATGGAACTGCTTAAGCCACTTGCTTTGAGCGCTTGTTGCTAGATGCCTGCTAAAGCGTAAGGGAAAACAACTTCTTATTTGATGCCTACGGTGCAGCCATGCAAAGCATTAAAAAAGCAGCCGTAACTTGGGCTCCTATTCAAGCAATGAGAAGCTTTGCGCTCTTAAAGCAAAGTAAGCACTCCTTTTAGTAGGCCTCTTTTTGTGAAGAAATGCAACAGACTCCTTATTTTAGTAGAAATTCTATTGTGAATTAAAGCACCTGAGAAAAAGCATTGCAGAGTGCAAAGCACTTCAAAATCTTTGGGTATCAATGAGTTCAAATATGACATTGGAATTCAAATCCAATCTAGAATGTTGGAAAAATTACTTTTTTGTGCAGCCTTTATCCTCAGATACTGAAGGTTAATTGTGGCTTTTCTCCCTTCAAGGATAAGAGGGAACATCATCATCATCATCCAAGCCTTTATCCCCAACTCTTTGGGGTTCCCTAATTCATGATTGGGATCTGGCAAAAGTTTTCTGCTGGCTGTGAACTTAAGAAAACCCTCCTTTCTCATTTGGGCTTGGGGCTGGCAATGGTGGAGTTATATATGTTTGTATGTATATGTATGTATGTGTATATGCGTATGTATGTATGTATATGTGTGTGTGTGTATGTATGTATGGATATATATTGATGTGAAGTTTGGGTTAGATGGATCAGTCATGGCTCTTCGACCTGGATATCAAATTTAGAAAAGGTGCTGTATATATATTTTTGGGTTGACTACTCTTTATGTGGTTCATTTGTGTTCAGGCTGCAGCAGCAACTGCAGCTTTGGCAAAAAAATATGGGGCTGACATCACAGTGGTTGGTATGTCAATTTTACCTACATGAGGCACCACCTCCCTTTCCTTCTGTCTTGCAACATTAAAGCTTTAGATCATTAGAAACACCTGGTTTTGGTCTGACCTCTGACGCAGGAATTCAAGGCATATAGAACTTGATGTTCTTTGCAGTAATTGATGAGAAATCAAAGGAAGACATACCAGAACACGAGGCACAACTTTCAAGTATCCGGTGGCATCTCTCTGCAGGTATTTATTTTCATGAATTTGATTTGATGGGCTTTTCCAAAATTTGTTATCTTTTGGTAATCCAACTGGATGATTGCGCGTAGGTGGGTTCCAAGAATTTGGATTGATGGAGAGAATGGGGGAAGGTAAGAAGCCCACAGCCATCATTGGTGAGGTTGCTGATGACTTAAACTTGGATCTGGTAGTGATGAGTATGGAAGCCATCCATTCCAAGCATGTTGATGGCAATTTACTTGCGGAATTCATACCTTGTCCGGTTCTCCTTTTGCCATTATAAGGGTAATATGAAGTCATTGAGCTTCATGACACTAATTTTGAAGTAATGTACATTTTCCTCACATATTCCGAAAATCTGGGCACCGAGTTCATTTCGTAAAATTCATGTTTGCTGTGATATGTTGCATGCGGGGATCTCTTAATTTAGTCAGGGATCACAAGCAGATACATTAGTTGTAGAAATTGCGCTACTTTATTCACATCAGAAGTTTGAGCTGTTTTGACAAACATTGATGTTTCTTTGCGTTCTTTGAAGAATTTGTTTCTATTGCAGTCCAATATCTTTTTATATTTCCATGCATAAACAGGTTTTTATTGGGATTTAATTGTATGATATGTGTAAAGCTTTTGGCATCGAGGTAGCCGGCCTTCTTCTGGCATACTTGCAGGAAACAACAGTGCGGGATTCAGTAACTATGCCCTTGCACTATTCTGCGTTCTGTGGATCATTTTATTGAATCAAGAAGCATATAGGGCATCTCCTTTGGAACTTTTCAGTCGATTAATTTTTGACTTGTTATTAGCCTCTTTAATCGAGCAATTGATTGTTCTCTTAAATTGATCATTTCAGTTGGTTATGATATCATAGACAATATAAGAGGATTTGGCTGAAACTTAACTGAAGATATAAAAAACCAATGGTAAAATTCCAGCAGGTTAGGAAAATCTTCCTAGAACTCCAATCTGATATGGTGAGGTCATCAGAAATGCTGACCTAGGTGAAAGATATAAAATAATCTAGCAATCTTGAAGGAGCATATAGAAGAGAAGTATTGATTCTAACAAGCAGCAGGATATTGTTTCTCACCAAAATGGGACTATTATTTACTGGTATTTGTATTTCATCACCAAAGTGTGATAGCTCATGGATCGTCACTAGTCGACTGCTAGGTCTAGCTATATCTTCCATTTCCAAAAATAGAAGCTGGTGTTACCCGTGTGAAATTAGGTCCTAACGTCCATACCTATCTAGGTTTCTTTGCTAGATGGCCCTGGTCCTTTGTGAGCATTGGATTCATCTGGTACAATTATTTAGTTAAAAAACAGCCCCTGAAATGGTGGATCAGCTACTGTTGGGTCTGCTAATGCAACTGTTGAGGAAGTACAACATTGACTCACCCAACACTATGAGTACGCAATGTTGATGCAATGGAGGGAGCCAACTTTTCATTCTCATATCCATAAGCATGGCAAAGGATCTCTATGAAGAATGGAGTTTCACCATTAAATTCAAGCTAATAATGAGAGGATGACCTGGGCAACAGTAACTGTTTACTGGCATGAGCCTCTAATCATCTTGAGACTAACGTACAGCAAGTCCTAATGACCATCTCTCTACTACGAAATTTGTGTATTAGGAGATTTGACAATGAAGAGGTCATGCATCACATCTGGCATATGTGACTTGGATTTTGAGAGTGACAATTTACAAAAGTCTATCATCAATTTTACTTAAATGATTCATTCCTAATGGCGGGTGCTTCTGGTAAACCCTCTTAAGATATAGCATCAATTACGAACTGTAGCTTGAAAATGCTTTAGAAATGGATTTTTGGAAAGAGCACATATATTATGCTTCCTTGAAGCATACTTCTACTCCCTTGGTTGGTCTGAAGGCCTACTTGGGAGGATCTTTTGTGAAATTTTGGGAATCATGTAAGAATCACTAGATGATTATTCTAAAAAAATAAATAAATTGAAATTTGAGTTTTCTGACATGTAGATCTCACCATCTAAAAATTGGATGGTCTCCATTCAATCTCAAAACCATTATTTTTTCCAAGTGCATAAAGGGTACAATTAGGAATCTTTGTTATTGAGGTTAATCTATAGGATGAAAAAGGCTACATCCCCAAAATTTAGGGTCCTAAAATTATTCCTAGATGGAGATTAACCCAAGGGAGTAATTAAACATTCTACATGGGGAATAGAATATCTTTTGGCTTTGGAAATTTCCTTGAGAGTGTTTACATTATGATACATGCTTCTCAGATACATGGCGAGAAAGTTTGTATATGGAGATCTGTTGATGATTTGAAGGCAAGGCCACTTTGCTCGTGATACAGGTTCAACACCAATGCTCTACGTTGGTATGGTAAACATTCCTTACATATGAGCCCTATACCAAAGATTGGTATGCCCTTGCATGGCCATATTGTCAAGAAAAGATATATTAAGAAGCCATTTACTTTTAGTATAAGGAGGTCACAATCACTATTTTCTGTCATATTTTAAATCATGTAGTTATAAGTGTTTCATTGACCAGATTCAAAATTCAAAGGGATTGTGACCTCCTTGTAACAATAGTAAATCGGCTCATAGTGTACAATCCCTATTGTTCTCTGCAAACAAAATTGTGGGCCAAAGTAAAGGTTGGTTACGACAAAAGACCTGATTAATTGTCTTGCTGGGGCTCGCATGAAATAATGTGGAAAACTTGTACTTTTCATTGGTCATGGAAGGTATGATATATTATGATGTACATATTTGGTACATGTATCAATAGCTGCTAATTGTCATGTTAGCCTATTCTGCATTGATATACATTAAAGCAGATCAAGTAGTTGACAACGGCTATCTGTTGTACACAGTGGCTGGTTGATGGTACATTTACTTCCATGGAAATTGTTGTTCTCCTTTTAAATTAGTGCATCTGCGAGCAGTGCTTCATAAAGTAGTACATATGATAGACACCACTTATTGTTGGTACAAGAAAGTCATGATTACCTGATGCAGTTAAGTTTGTAATAAGGCAAATGACGTATGGCAAAGTTTGAGACAAATTTTAGGCTCAAGACAGGATCAGTTGCAGGCACCGATCCATCCAATTTTGCATCATGCGGCTTGGGGTTTGTAAAGGGTCTTATCGCAGACTTTGTGTAATGTGTATTTTGAAGTACACAATTAATTCACCATTTGCAGGGAGTGAGGCAGTTTTGTCTTGTGCTTTGGATGTGTTGCATGTGGAACTCTTGGCCCGTTAATTGTTCGTGTGCAGAACGATCCAATTAGGTGATACAGGGTTTGAAAAATTTGGTGACCTGGATTAGAACATTCTGATTTGGATTGGGCATCGGTCGATCTAGATCTTTTAAAATATTGGAAATCAGTCGGCTCCCCTCTAAATCAGCCGGTTTTTATTAATTCTCCAACAGAATCAGCCGGTTCTAGTTCTGTTAGAGAACGGGTATGAACCGGCTCCATTATCATCATCATTCATGTGTTATCCCAATTATTTGGGGTTGACTACATAAATCATGTTCTATATTTTTCTTTCAATGGTCATATCCTCTATAAGATTAAAAGTCATTGTCTTTTTTCACTACTTCTATTTATGTTTTTTTGGGCATTCTTTATGCCGTTTTAGCTTTCCACTTGAAGCAAATCGTACTTTCTAACAGGTACTGTACTATGTGTACATTGCATTTGACCAGCTCACTTAAGTTAATTTCCCTCATTTCCGATTGAAGCAACACTTGAGTTCTCTCGTATGTATTTGTATCGAATTCTATCCTTTTTGGTCTTTTTAAAACCTGCTCCATATTTTTTTTAATCTTTTACCTAATCGGTTTTGGTTGGTTCCAGTTGGTTCGGGCTAGTTCTCTGACAAAACCACCTAGAACCCGGCCCACTATTTTTTTATTTTTATTTGTATTTTTTTTTGGACTTCTTATCTACGATCCGGATTGAAATCCAGAGGGGTGATAACCATTCCTATTTTTAAAACCTTGGCTGGATATGGTCAAATCATTGGCAATTAATAGCTAGGCAATTTTTTATTTTTTTCTAACGGAAATAGAAAATGTATAGGATGTACTAGATGAAATTATTTCGAATTAAATTTCCAAATTTTAAATTTACAATTCTTATAATTTGGTGGAATAAAATGGTTTACAACCTAGAAGTTTTGAAGAGAAATCATAGTATGTCGAATACAAAGCATTTGGTGTCATACGCTGCAAAAGGCATTTCATGAATTGTATTGGCCCCAACTCTTAAAAAGTCATTAGGAATGTGAAGGGGCCTCTTGATAGGGATGCCAATGGGGCTGGCTGGGATGGTCTGGGTCCCTGACTGGCCGAAATAGAGAAATGGTAGGCGTAGGTGCACGCCCATTTGTAAAAGGGACTCGCTCGAGCCAAGCGACAGGGTCAATTAGGGTGACCCAAAAATATGCTCCCCTTGGTTGGCTGCCCTATTAAACCGATTTGGGATTGGCCTAGAATTGGTCAGAACCTTTATGGTCAGGCTTAAGTTTGACCTGAGCATGGCCCACAGGTCACACTTGGCGGTCCTAACCCACTCCTAAAATGGGCTAGGCCCAAAGGCCCGCAGGTGGGTCCAACCCAATTAGTAAGAGATTAATAATTTCATTAAACATTATTCGATGGATACAAATGAAATCTGGATTCTCTTGGGTGTTTAATGAGCTAATACATGAGGTGTTCGAGGACTCTAGGAATTTGGTATGTGTTTTTGGGCATGTTTACATGGAGAGTAATATGGATGCTGATGTGCTAGCCAAGAGGGGTGTTGGAGCTAATGGGTTGACTATTCAGTAACTGTGTTTTCCCTTTGGTTTTGTTTTGTTTGTTGTTTTTCTATATATTGTAGTTGTTCTTGTTTTTGTTGATATATAAAAAGGTTACTGTTGTTAAAAATAAGAAAAGATTCATAATTAGGGCTGGTAATATGCTGCTTCAGCCTTGCCCGCCTTGGCCCTACCTGGGCCTTGATCTACATGGGGTAGACCTCAGTCTGTCCTGATTGGGCCAAAGAGGCCGTGGCCCTACCAGAGCTGGAATGGGTGAACGGGAAAAAATGAAAACCATACAGGAAAAATATGAAGAACAAAAGGACCGGGCTGTGGTCCAGGCTCGGCTTGACACTTGAGCCGCCGGGGCTGGCCTTTAGGCCACAATTTGTGGTCCACGCCCTAAACTTTTAGGGCCAGGCGGGCCACCTAGCTATTTGCTACCCCTAGAGATTATCCATGTTACTTGTAGTCATATCATCTTGGACCTTTGTTGCCACCAATCCAATTTTGCCTAAGCTAAACCAACTAATGCCTCCTTATCTTTTGCTTATCTTTCCCCTGTTGTCACCAATCCAATTTTACCTAAGCTAAACCAACTAATGCCTCGTTATCTGTTGCTTTTCTTCCCTCTCCCCCTCCCCTCCCGCCTTCCCTAATTTGTACTTTCTAGATATCCTTTTCCCAACACTTTGGATGCTGCATCAATGATCTCAAAACTGTTTCTCTTTCCAGCTATACT